TTGTTTTTGCGCAAGTTCTTTAAAATTATTTACAAATGTTTCCGAACTATTCTTGTCAGCACTAGCTTTTTCCCGGTAAAGCGTTTGTCCAGTTCTTCATACACTGGTTCCATTATTTTTCGCTGTTTCTTTTCACGTTTACCTTTATCTGCAAAGGTATTAATTTTTGCAACATTTTTTTTAATTCTTTGAATTGTTTTGATGCTAAAAATCGTGGCTCGATGCTATGTCGAATACGAGGAGCGCGATCGCGCTCCTTGACACTCAAACGGTCAGCTAGTCCCGTTCTGTGATCCTTAATACCTTTCTGTAAATTCTCACTTTATTTTTCTTCGTAATGGCGCATCGCGCACCCTAATTGCAGCCTACCTGCCTCCCACAAATTCCATTCGCAGCTCAAACCGAGACTTCGTTAAAAAAAAAAAGAAAATATAACTACTATAAACATCGAGTTAAATTATGTAAAACCAAAAGGATCGGCCAGGACGACCCGTCCTCACTCTTTGCAAAACTTTAGACATCTACTTTGGCAAACGACGTTTACACCACGCAATTACAGTCCTGTAAATCGGTTAATGTTGCTATGAGCTACAAACGGTTAAAAATTGTGAAAATTGCACTATTTCACTAATAAATTTGAAGATTCTTACATCTTTCGATCCTGTCGCTTGTTTCTCCATCCACCGATTTTGATGAAATTTTCAGCGTATGTATAATTGACATAGATCTACAAAACATATTTTTTAAATTTTCATTACGAGCTCAGATAAAAAAGTTGTAAAAAGTGACCTTCGTTATTTTCTTCGCGATTCCGACTAATTGCAGTTTTTTCAAAATTTTTTTACACGTCATCTAGTAAACAAATCTTTCTAACTTCTCAAAAAAACTCAAATTGTTTAGTCCAATTTTAAAACAGTTATAACGTTTTAAACAGTGTGCGAATACTTTTGTCCATCACTGTATATGGAAGTTTATAATAAGATAATTTTTTCACATAAAAATAATATTTCTAACGGATTTATTTGGAATGAACTTCATTCCATAGCCACTCAAACAAAATTGTTACCACGCAATGTGGAAGAATTATGTTTCTTATATTCCAACTTAAAATAAAAATATATCCAAAAATTGGTTGTACATTCTTATTATGTACTATCAAACATCCAGTAACTATTTACAAAATACAAAATACAAAATACATTTTCCAATTCTGTAAAAGTAAAAATTCAACTCATATACTTTATATAAAATGAATATACAGGTTACATGGACTAGAGGGCGACCCAACTTTTTCCGGCTGGACCCAAGCCCGACATATCTGATACCCGCACACCTCTAGTAATTACTAATACATTCGCTAAAATAAT